TGGACAAAACACACATCTCACTAATTCATGATCAGAAGGAGCCTTTTTGTTTCACTTTTGGAAGGGCTTGCTTAACAAGTTCTTTGATACGTTATTGTAATAAGGGGGAAAGTTTGGGGTAGTGGGCCTCTACAGAGATTCTCCCTGGGAGTTATTTGTGATCCCCTCCAGCAAACAGACTGGCTGTTGGAAGATTGTACGTGTGTCACTTGAGCCGCACAGCTAGAGGAATTTATTGAGGATTGGAGGTATTTTACTAACCTGCTGCAGAACCATGTAAGTGCTTGAGACTAAGCAAAGCCCAGCTTTAAGGGAAAGCGCTTGTGTTGTCCTGTTTGTGCCACCCACCGATGGGTCAGACAGTTGTGTCCCCCTTGATTGACTTCCTCACATAAGAGAGTAGTTACCAAAAGTTTTGTGTTAAAAGAACTCCAGGTCACTGTGGAAGCATGGACCGTGCAAGATTACCTAGGACTTCAGGCACTACTCCAGTGGGTAGCCTGTACGGCTGTTTGATCTGGCTAAGCCAAAGCTACCTCAGGAACATCCACGCATTCTGCATGCTCACCTCTGGCTGATTATGGTTACTCTGCAGTCTGCCCTCCTCCACACTCGCCTTAGTTTCCTTCTCTCTCATCTGGGAAAACTACCGCCTCCAGCTCCTCTCCAAATCACCTTTCATATACCTCACAACCACCAGTTAACACTTCCTCTCCCCCTGCCCCTACCATGTCCACCCCTTCCCGACGGTCTCTCTCTACATGCCAACATAAAGGCCCGGGGATCCAGCCATTGCTGCTGTAGTAGCAGAGGCATGGAACCCCGGACTCTTTTGAATGGCAAGGCACGCTGGCACCAGTCCCTTCTGCCCTCCCTTTCGGCAGCCCTGGGTACAGAGACGATCATGTCACACGCACGAGGCTCCGTTGCTCTCTAATGGATGGCTCATGGGAGAGGTTAATGAGCGTGCTACAGCAACTAGTCCTTTAGCTCGGGAAGTAGAAACTCTTGGGCTATGTCTACACTCACGGCTTCTTGTGCAAGAAATATGCAAATGAGGCTAAGCATGGAATATTGCTGAGCCACATTTGCATACCTAATGAGCCGCCATTTTTGCAGAAGAGGCTCTTGCGACAGAAGGAGCTGTCTACACTGCCCCTTCATGCGCAAGAAAAACCCTCTTGTGCAATGCCATTATGCTGATTATTTTCAGGAATAACGGCGTTGCGCAAGAGGGTTTTTCTTGCGCAAGAAGGGGCAGTGTAGACAGCTCCTTCTGGCGCAAGAGCCTCTTCTGCAAAAATGGCGGCTCATTAGGTATGCAAATGTCACGAGAGTAGACATACCCTTAGTTTTTTGCTTTGAAGATCAAACCTCAGTGTGGGCCCAAGCAAGGACACTTAAAATTGCAAACCAGAGATTGATGTACAGGGCAAAGGGGGTACTGAGCAGTGGGACCAGATTAGCAACAGATGCTGCAGGAGGTCAGAGTTATGGGCACTAGTAGACATGTGGGGGAGGCTTGTCTGGCACCTGCTAGCCTCAGGCTCAGGGTCCCACTTTCAACTCCCCGGTCTCAGGAGCAGTTTCTCTTCGCACCTTCTCTGCTGCAAAGATAAAGCATCTTCAAGTAAATTTTATCTACCTTTCAGGCAAGCACCCTAGGCCACACCAGAACCCACCCCACCTTCAGGGACTCCCTTATCCAGCCTCTCCCAGCGTGGCTAGGACTTGAATCCGTTCCACCACCCCACCTTCAGGGCACCCTTTATCCCACTTCTTCCTGGATGTGGAGGGAGACTTGAACCCACCACCCTGACCTCCCCAGGGGTCATACCAGAATCCACCCTACTACTATACATTCAGGGAATCCCTTATCCCGCTGCTCCCATGGTGGCCGGGACTTAAACGCGACCCATTACCTCACCTTCAGGGCCTCCCTTTATCCTGCCTCTCCCTGGGTGTGGGGAACATGGAAGAAGCAGAGAAACCATTACCAACCCTCCTCAGGTTCTTGCCAACGATGTGATACGTGGTGCTTTTCCTATAACGCCAGTTCCTGGAGTCTTGTGAACGTAGTAGACGGTCAGCTTTGGTTTTCATAAAAGGGTTTTAAACCTGCACCTTTTTGTGTTAGAATCACAGAGCTGGAAGAAACCTCAGGAGGTCATCGAGTCCAGCCTCCTGCTCAAAGCAGGACCAATCCCAACTACATCATCCCAGCCAGGGCTTTGTCAAGCTGGGACTTAAACTGCAGCAAGGGAGATTTAGGTTGGACATAAGGAAAAACTTCCTGTCAGGGTAGTCAAACACTGGAATAAATTGCCCAGGGAGGTTGTGGAATCCCCATCTCTGGAGATATTTAAGAGTAGGTTAGATAAATGTCTATCAGGGAGGGTCTAGACAGTATTCGGTCCTGCCATGGGGGCAGGGGACTGGACTCGATGAACTCTCGAGGTCCCTTCCAGTCTCCAACCTAGACCTCTCCCAGTGCAACTTGAGAGCAGCCTCTCTCCATCCTCTTTGGAACCCCCCTTCAGGCAATTGAAGGCTGCTATCAAATCCCCCTCTTCTGTAGACTAAATAAACCCAAATTCTTCTGCCTCTCCTCATAAATCATGTGCCCCAGGGCCCTAATAATTTTTGTTGCCCTCCACTGTTGCTTGTTTGAGATGAGGTGACCATAAAGGTTCTGCCTCTCCTCATAAATCATGTGCCCCAGGGCCCTAATAATTTTTGTTGCCCTCCACTGAACTCTCTCCATTGTGTCTACATTCTTTCTATAAGGGGGGAAGGGGCAGAATTGAATGCACTACTCCAGATGTAGCCTCACCAGTGCCAAATGAAGGGGAATCATCACTTTCTTAGATTTGCTGGCATGCTCCTACTGATGCAACCCAATATACAGTTAGCCCTCTTGACTACAAGGGCACACTGTTGACTCATATCCAGGTTACCTTGCCATAGAAGGCAATCAGGATGGTCAGGCATGGCTTGCCCTTGGTGAATCCGTGTTGACTGTTCCTGATCGCTTGCCTCTCTTCCAAGTACTTCAAAATGGATTCCTTGAGGATCCCCGCCATGATTTTTCTGGGGACTGAAGAGAGGCTGCCTGGTCTGTAGCTCCCCAGATTCTCCTTCTTCCCTTTTCTAGAGACGGGCCCTAAATCAATGTTCTGTTATATTGGCATAGTGCCTGGCACTTGGGGGTCCTGCGCCAGAGCCGGAGCTCTTTAGTATGGCAGAGTGTCCCCCCATTACTCTGCACGGAGCCCAATAACATCTGTCTGGGTAAAGCATCTTTCAGTCAGGTCACCTGCAGGCTGGTCTACACTAGAGAGTCAGGGCAGCCTCGGGGTTTCCCTCAGGGCTGTGAAAAGTGAACCCCCCTGAGAGATGTAGTTAATCCAACTCATCTCCCAGCGTAGACGCCGTGAGCTCACTGGAGAAACTCTTCCATCATCCGTGTTACCACCTCTCCAAGGGGTGGATTGAGATCTACTGCAACTGCAGCATTTCTGGTGTAGACATAGCCTGATGGAGAATCTACCACTTCCCACTGGCTGTTTGTTCCAAACAGCTTGCGCTGTTAAAATGTCTGCCTTACATCTGCCTTATATTTCCATGGGAAGTGGGGGGTGAACCATAAGCTCAGAGAGGCGACTCCCTGGCCTGGCCCACCCCTTCCACTTGAGGCCCCATCCCTCATAGTCCTCTGCCCCCTCAAAGGCCAGCACCCCAGCCTGAGGTCTCCCAAGTACCTCCAGCCCCAAAGCACCAGGGAGACAGAATGTGGCCGCACCCCAGGTGCAGAGCACTGGGTGCTCATGCCCCTCCAGCGTCAGTACAATGGGCAGGCACCACATAACTCACCTCCCTCAGCCCCGGAGCACTGGGTGGTGTGGTCCCAGCACCAGGGCCCCCCTAGTTCTGGCTGGCCCCAGCCACCGCAAGTTCTAGCCATCCTCGCTCCAGCCCCAGCTGACTTTCCAGAAGAGGAGCAACCTGCTTGCCTACGCAGGGGTCCAGTAGCAGCAGCAGGAGGGGGCCTCAGGGCAGAGAGTGTGTGGGGCCATGTGGGGCTGTTTGCAGAGGCCCAGCCTTTCCTAGCATACTCTACATGCTACCTCTGGATTGGGCTGGCTCCAGCTTCCCGCTGCTGGCTCGTGTTCTCCCTTTCTCCACTCCATCAAAGAGCCCTTTAACAGCCAATCTTTTCTCCCTGTGCATGTACTTGTATGGGCGGCCAGACAGCACATATGAACAATCTGGACAAGGCTGGGTGGACATAGACTCCTGTATAAGGCAAAGCTCCAAATCTCAGGGCTGTCTCTCAAATTGGGACCACTGGTTGCCCCAGTACTCGTGCACTAGAGCCACTTCTTCATCTCCTAAACGGAGTGAGTGCTAAACGTCTCTTGCAATCTGGGGCTTTTCCCAGTTGGCACACTGCATTTCCGTGTGTCCACTCCCATGGCTCAATAACCTAACCCCGTGGTAGGGTCTCACTCAATACCATGCCCACCTGCACAGCAGGCAAGACCTTGCACCCACCTGCTTCCTGCAACTCAGTAGGAGACACTGACTAGACCCCTCAGATTACAAGGCTGCTACTCTCCAGGTGAACTGTTCCAGCAGCAGCTGGGACATCCATGCACTTGTGCCTTGTCTTTGAGCTTCTCTCTGCATCTCTGAGGACAGGAAACTTACTTTTAGTTTGAATGCATGCTGAGGTGCTCAGCTAGTCCCTTGTTTCCAGGAGCTGGGGCTTGAAGTAAAACATCAGTTACCATGGGACATGCAATAAAATCCTGAGAATTCCTAAAGTGTAGCATAACAGGAAGATTCAATGGGGCGGAGGGAGGCTTAGGGCCGAAATGGTTCCATTCCCCTTTCACCTGAGCTTTGCACTTTTCACCCGGCCCCTCCACAGCAGCTAGCAGTGCCCAGGTGCAGCCTCTCTGCTCATCTGGTTCACTCCCCTCCACTCACCCTACAAAGCCAGGTCCCACAGCTTCCCTAGCTATGAGAAGTAGCTGCTGGGTAGGGCTTCTTTCTTAGCTCTTTTCAGCCATGGGGTGGGGCTGTTGGTCTTTTGGGGGCTTACTGCTGCTCTGGTTCCTGGGATCAGCCCTGGGACAGGGGGAGTTCCGCAGGGTCAGTTTCACTGTCTTGCAGCATGGGTATGAGTATGAGTGTGGTGACTATGGGATGCAGCTGCTGGTCTTTCCTCGGCAGGGCCGCCCTGTCCGCTTCAAAGTTGTGGGTAAGTAGCTGCCTGGTGGCTTCTTAGAAACTTAAGAAGCTCCTATTTGTCTGCCCCCTTAGATGTGCAAGAGGGATTTTATGGGGGCTCCCCTGGAAATGTATTATGGAAACAATGTGGGGGGAACCTTTTCTATTTTCAAAGTTTCTACTCCAGTGCCCCTTGGTGGCCTGGCTGCTACCCTCAAATCTTTACTTCACTGGAAATGAGTCTGTATCTTTTGTACCTGGGAGAGCCCTAACAGTTGGATCTTGCTAGTGAAGTCTTTCCAACAGCCTGATTACCCTCTGCTGTCCCCACCCCTTAGGTCACAGAGGAAATGGAGTGTGTGTGTGTGGCCAGGGGGAAAGGAGAACAATCATGTTTTGGCATGGCCTTTTTATCTCCAGCTTGGCTCTTGTTCAGCCCCCTGGGGCTCCAGGCACCTGAATCCTGTGTCATCTGTGAGCTATTAGCTCATTGTCCTGCACCTGTGTGGGATGGTCTGGTCACTTTCAGTGCTCCTGGCTGGAGGCCACACTTCTGAGCTGCTCGCTAGTATGTTAAAACGCCACTCAAACTGAAGGATGTGACAAACCACGGTCACGTTCCACACTTAGCCAAGCTTCAGCAAGGGCTTTACTCCTCCCTTTACCCATGATGTGCAACTCCCTCCACAGATGAGTTTGGGACGCCCTTCGAAGTTACCAACTGCTCCATTTGTCTCCATTGGATCACCTCTGGCGAGCAGGGAGCAGTGATCTTCTCGGCTGGCTATGCTGGCTGCCATGTGCAACATAAGGTGAGGGAGATGGCATGCCTCACCCCAGTGTACCTGAGCCGCTACACATGGCAGTGCCATGCCTGCTGCCCCACAGCCTGTGCAGATGGGCCTGGGCACCAAGCTTGTATGATATGTGGTAGTACCCAGAATGTGTCCAAGCCAGCCGGGCCCACCATCACCACAGGCCCTGGGGCAGGGTGAAGGGAGCAGCTCTGTGCTGTGGAAGGGGTGGTGCCAAGAACAGACAGTCCTTAGTGTAGCCCAGACTGTGGTGCTGGGGGGGGCCCCCCCCGGTCAAAAGTCATGTGGAGGGGCGCTCCAGCACTAGCACAAGTCCAGAGGGGCCTGATGCTCCAGCTGCTGCAGTAGCAGCAGTGAGGCCTGGGAGCTCTGGGACTCTTTAATAGCTGTGCCCTGGAGAGAATTAATCCCTTCCCCACCTTCTGTTGACAGGCCTGGTCCAAGCAGAAACCATAGACTGGATGTGGGGGGAGGGCAATTGCCCCAAGCTCCATGGCTGGAGGAGTGTGTGTGTGTGTGGGGGGGGGGGGGGGGGTGTCTGTGCTTCAGGAGGCTGTGAGGTCCAGGGTGGCCTGGGCAGTTAAGACACTGGCAACCGCAACAGCTCGGGCTGCCATGCTCTACCGACTCCCAGCATCCCAGAGAGGGTGAAAGCTGGAAAGAGGCAGGGTGCGAGTTAGTGGGGGAGGCTAGTGGTGGGTCACTTAATGCTGCTGGTGCCAGGACCCTTCCTTCCCCAGCCCATCCAGACTGCCCTCAACCCTGTGTTCCCCTGATGCACAGCTCCCCCTGAGCAGTTATCCCAGTTCATCCTATGGACAGGACCGAGCTGAAGATAAATTGAAACAAAGGTGGAGCCAAACCCACTTCTGAAATATTGGTGGGCCCATGGTGCCTGCACTCATACAGCTTGCTGCCTATAAGGCAAGGGGATCTATGCTTAGCACCTATGTGGTCCGTATTCTGGCATGGCATAGACTAACTGGAGTCTCCATTGCAGGATGGTCGTCATCACCTGAGGGTCCGAGTGGAGGAGCTACAGAGCACCGGGACTGTCGCCGCTGCCTATTATGTGAACATGATCTGCCCCAAGCCCACTGAACGTGACTTAAGCCCAGAGGAGACCATGCGTGCCGTGCCGCAGCCCGGCCTGGTGCGCCCGGGGCCCGTGCCGCAGCCCGGCCTGGTGCGCCCGGGGCCCGTGCCGCAGCCCGGCCTGGTGCGCCCGGGGCCCGTGCCGCAGCCCGGCCTGGTGCGCCCGGGGCCCGTGCCGCAGCCCGGCCTGGTGCGCCCATGATCTACTGTGGCAGCTTTCAATGGAACTGTTCCGTCATTCCAGGCCCACTGACCAGTCCCTAGGACAGTAGGCCTCTCCTGTCCCTGGCAATTCAAAAGGGCCAGGGTTTCCAGCTGCCATGGCTACTGCATCAGCCAGAGCCTCAGGCGCTGTAAATCGCCACCACAGCTTTGTGGCATGCTCTGGTCAGCACTGAGGGCTGTCTGGGGAAGGCTGATCTTGCTGGGCACTAGGCTCCCAAGGGGCAAGTGTGACGGCTCCACAGCTTCTCCCAGGTGCTACGTTCCCCATGAGTGGCCCTGGGGAGAAGGGAAGGGATGCAAGTTGAGCAATTCAGCTTTTCTCCCATGACAGTAGGAAAGGGCGGTGATATCACACAGCAAATTGTCACGGCTTCCCGCTCAATGCTGAGTGACAAGCCACACCTTGCACCTTTTGAGGCCAGTCTCGGCCATGTTGTGCTGTGAGGATACTGGAATGACTGGGGATCTGCAGTGCAGGGCTATCTGAGGGGCTAGGGGACCAGCAGATGACTTGGCAGCTGGAACATTGGTGCGCACAAATGGCTAAATTGTATGGTTCATCCAAGGATTTTGCCCTAGGTGCCTATCTCACACCGGAGCAGTGCCGTGTGGTTACTGGGAAGATCCCCTGTGCAGATGCCCCCGGCCACGCTGCTTGTGCACAGGCTGGCTGCTGTTACGATGAGACGGACCCAACGACTCCCTGCTACTATGGCAACACAGGTAAGAGACCTGCCCTCGTGTTGGCTCATGGAGGCAGGGATCCCTGAGCACAGTCAGGCTTCCTAAGACAACACGTTCTTAGGCCATGTCCACACTGCTTGCTGCCCTGCAACTTTCTCATTCAGGGATGTGAGCATAAACCCCTCCTATCCCACCCCCATGTAGTGGTGGATTTAAACAGTGTGTTGGAAGAGCTCCTGGTGCTGTCACCATACTTCCAGTTTACAGTGCTGCCACAGCAACACTTTAAATGTTTGAAGTGTTGCTTTAGCTGCTAGCGAGATGGGTCAGCACTTAATCACATGGGAGTCTAAGCTGGCTGTTAGCTGCTGCTCAAGGATTCTCCAGTGGAAACTACTGGAATGTGCCCTTAACTCAAGGCTGCAGTTACTTTCCAGAGTGTATGACTGGCACTAACTCAGTCTCTCTCTCCTCTGATCTTTCTCAAAAGCAGCCAGAGAACAGATCTGCCTTTGCTAGAGCTGAGGATGAGAAACAGTATGTGTAGGGGGGATCTTATAAGAGACATCTGCTGCTATTTGACTAGCAGAGGAACCCAATTTTCTAGCTCCGGGGGTTTACATTGTGGGTTAGTTGGGCCCAGAACCTGTCTTTGGTGCTCTGCTGGCTCTTGCCTTATAGAGCAGAAGCTTGAATCTCAAAATATGCATTAGTATTTCATAATCTCCATATCAAGTAGGGTGGGATCCAGGATGCTAGATCTGGAACACTAAGGAGCAATTGTCCTATGTCCTCTGTACTTAACCTGCTCCCCTGTCTTGCAGTCACTATTCAGTGCCTCCTGGATGGTCACTTTATTCTGGTGGTCTCCAGGGACATGTCTGCCCACCCCATCGTTCTGGACAGTGTCCGGCTAGCCTACGCCCAGACTGGGTGTGATCCCATCAGGAAGACCGAGGCTTTTGTGATCTTCCACTTTCCCCTCATGCAGTGTGGCACCACAGCTCAGGTGAGAAGCCCCCAGGACTCCAGAGTGAGAGCTCTGCTAAGGGCCTTGGAACTAATTTACCCCATGTCTAACCTGCCAGGTGATCGGGGATAAACTGATCTATGAGAACCAGCTGGTCTCTGGCATTGACATCCGGACTGGGCCAGATGGCTCCATCACCCGGGACAGCACCTTCATGTGAGTTGGCCTGGCTAGTGTGGGAGAAATGATTCCAACCTTCCCCGTATCTGAAGGGGAAGGCAATAGGCTGCTTCATTGAATAGGGAGATGTTGTGACTTCCTCCGTTGGGGTTACCCGGGCCTCAGCCCTTCCAGCAGCTTTGAATGCCTCCCTTGCAGGTACTTACTGGGCCTGACCCTGTTTGTCTCCAGTGCTAAAACTCACAGGCAGACACAGCCTTGGGTCAGTCTGAATTCACTGAGCATCAGCCCCAACCTCCTCCCTCTGCTCTCTCCTCTGCAGCCTCCATGCTCGCTGCATCTACAATGCCAGTGACTTCCTGCCACTGCAGGTCCAGGTCTTCCTGTCCCCCTCACCTGCTCCAGTCACCCAGGAAGGACCCCTCCACCTTGAGCTGCGCATTGCCACAGGTAGGCAGCCCCCCTCGCTCCAGGGCAGAGATCCCAGCCCCTGGAGGGCCCCAGTCTCTCAGCTCTGCTCTCCTCTGCAGACCTGAGCTACACATCCTACCTTGAGGAGGGAGACTACCCTGTGCTGAAGGTGCTCAGGGACCCTGTCTACGTGGAGGTTCGCATCCTGCAGAGAACAGACCCCGCCCTGGTTCTGGTTCTGCACCAGTGCTGGGCCACCCCCAGTGCAAACCCCCTGGAGCAGCCGCAGTGGCCCATCCTGGTGGACGGGTGAGTGGCTGGCATGGGAGGGGAAACAGCTTGGAGGAGGAAAGAAGCTTTTGTTCCACCATTCTCTTGTGTCTGGCTCTCAGGTGCCCGTTCCTGGGAGACAATTACAGAACCGAGCTCGTGCCCATGGGCCCGGCTTCCTCTGAGCTGCCCTTCCCGACCCACCACCAGCGCTTCGTCCTCTCCACCTTTGCCTTTGTGGACTCTGCTGCCCAGATGGCACTTGATGGACTGGTGAGACCTCTAGAGTGGGAGGGGTCCTCTTTCTGCCAGGCAATGATCTCTACCCTGTGTGCTCCTCTCAGTGGGGGGAGGAGGGGTACAAAACAAACCACTGTCCCCACCCTTATGAAACTTGGATCTACATGAATCCCTAGCCCAGTGCAAGGGGGTGGCTTTAAGAAAATCCCTCCCTTCCATCCCCATGCCTCAGGCTAGGAACTTGTTCCCTTGGTCTTAGCCTATCATGCTTCTAGACTGTTTCTTGGGTCTGACACTTGTAACCCTTACTCCCCAAAAGGGCAGAGCATGATGACTGCTTTAGGGACACTGTCCTCTACCTGTGATCCAGGCTGTAGATGCAGAAACTCCTGGCTACTCACTGTTCATCTCAGCTTTATGTCCTAGCTCCAGCTACCTGATTGAGAATTCCTGGGGAACATGATCAGAATATCCCCTTGCTAGTCACATTTGAGAACTTGCATAGCAATGCCATGGCTCAGGTGCATGTCTGGGACCTTCACTGTGCTCCTCTACTGGTCTTGGCTGGATGGAATGTCTCTTTGGAAGAATCTCTTTCCAATGGAGTAGACAAGCCCTACTGCAGAGGAGTCCTCCATTTAAGCCATGTGAGAGCAACTAGCTGTCCTGTAGCCACAGACCCCACATAGGTTGCCTCCCTTGGTGCTATGTGCAGGGAAGCTGGTGACAAGCTGCTGGCTCAGCTACTCAACTCAACTTTCACTTGTGTGGATTTCAGGTGTACCTCTTCTGCAGTGCCTCTGCCTGCCACCCCTCCCAGCTGGAGCCCTGCAGGACCTGGTGCCCCTCGGGGGCTGCTATAAGTAAGTCTCCATGGCTGCCAGCATACTAGCAGTAAGGTCTGCCCTTCATCTAGGTTTCAGCACCCAAATCCACTTCTGACATATCTGAGTGCATCGGAGCTTGTTGCCTAGAGCTCGAGCTGTCCCATTAGTCAGTGCAGTGTGAACTCAGCAGGTCCCATGTAGACTTGGTGCATTCTGTATTGGGTGGGACCATCTAGTCTGGGACCATCTAGTCTGGGATCTTGCCGCTGCCACCTCCTTGGTAAGTACACCCTTCCTATATGGGAGCTGTAATAGGCTACTGGAATCCCTAGAGCAGATTTCTAACATGGGTTAAAATTGCTTCTTCCTGCCTGATCCCAATCCTCCAATGACCCACTCAGGACTGCTCCACACCTACTGAACAGAAGCCACTTATCTGGGCAAGTGGGTCTACAGTGTCCTCATCAAATGCTGCACCCTCCACCTACCATTGAAGAGCTAGGTAGAGGTGACTCCCAAACTCTCTTCTACATCTTCTAGGAGGCCGTCGGTTTCTGCATATTGGCAATGGGACAGGAGAGCCCCAGGACCTAGTGAGTTCTCATGGACCTCTGATCTTCCAGGAAAGTCCTAGACCACATGGAGAGCAAGTCTATGTCTACTCAGGTGAGTTGACCTGCCCTTCTTGGCTAACTATCTTGCTTAGAGGGAAGTATTGACTTGAAGGCTACTAATAGGAGTGCTACTCCAAGTGTGGCCCAAGTATGTATAGTACACAGATGAGCAAGGGGTGATCATGTTGACTGCTGTAGCAACATTTTAGTCCTGGAAATCCTCTTCCCTGCTCCCCACATACCCCACCCCCCAAAAGTGGTGAGGGATAGACAATCAACCCATCCTCCAAAACCAGGCAGAGCCAACTGGGGCATGAACCCCTTAATTTCCAAGCTAGGGACTATCGAAGCAAAAACACACTCCTCTGTGTTTAGGCAGCTAACAAACAGCTTTATTTATTAATAAAGCACAGCATGAGCCAAACGTGGTCACAGCAGAGCCAGGCCCAGTAAGGCTGCTAATACAATCAATCCTAGTATCTTTATACCCTTAGTCAAACAGTCTGACATCAGGGCATCCAATTACAGAAATCTTCAATTAAATTTGGAAAAACAAAGCCTTATCAACAAGATGGCAGACAGGTACGAGGGAGTACTTCTCCTGTCCCAACCAGCCCAACTAACACATACCAATAGCCCATCCTGTAGGCCTCTTCTCACGGGGTGACAAAGTTCACTCTGGTCTACGTGCTTGAGAGAAGCTGAAATGGTTTCTGATATACAAGATGGCTTCTAGCTAAACATAAAATAGCTTCTACAGGACTGAGCCCTGGTGTGTATTGTAGGCATTATGGGCATGTCTACACAGCAGGGCTAAAGCTGAGACGAGCTATGTCAGTTGCGTAGCTGAAGTTGAAATAGCTTCTCTTGGTGCTGTTTACATAGCAGGAAGTTTGGGGTGGAGCAGTCTTCCTCATAGTAGGATGAGTAAGGGAAGTTGGAGGGTTACAGGAGTATGAGCAAGTCCTCCAGCTTGCTGTCTTGACATGTTCAAAAGAACATCTTATTGCAACAAGAGTCTGCATCTACAGCTGTTCTGAAATAAGGCTGCTGTGTAGACATAGCCTCAGTGCTGCCCTCTGATGGAATCCTGCAAAGAACAGAGGTCGTCTCTAAAGAGTGACTTGATGCAGTTGCTTGCCTGACAAGCAGAGCTCATCAGGTGTAATAACACATGGAAGAGGTGAAGGCCAACACACTGTTAATGGGTAGCAATAATGTTAGGGCAGGGATCCCTAGTCCTGCCTGCACTGCCATGGATGTGGGCACATGGTCTCTTGCCTTAACAACCCTTCTTCTTCCTCCCACAGACCCTGCCTCCAGACTGGACCTGGCTTCTCTACTTCTGGCTGTGATCTCCCTGGGGGTGGCCATTTCCCTCATCATTGTGGCTCTGCTCTGCAGGAGAAAGGGCTGGGTTTCAAGATCCCAAAGACTCCATCGTGACTTACTGTCAAACCAAGGTGGAAAATAAAAATTGAATGAACAGCATAATGGCTTGTGGTGGACTTTGTCTGGAAGGCAGATGGAGCCAGATGGCTGGCTCCATCCCTGCAGAAGAGGAGGGCCCTCCCCTTCCTGCATAAAGCTCTATCCTTGCCCTGCCTGGGATCTGCAGTGGTCAAGGGCAGCTGGAGAGCCTGCTTGGGTGGGCCAATAAGAGCTTTCTCATCCATCCCCTGAGTCTAGGATGGAAACAAACCTACCTGAGGTCAGCTGGAGGGCTAAAGCCCAACTCTACTGGCCATGATGCCAAAATGTCTGAGGCTTGCCAAGTTTTGGAAGAGGAACAGGCCAGACTTGGATCACAAGCTTGTATCTGGGCCTATGACACTGGCCTCTGATACTTAGCACAGCAGCTAACAGAGGGTATGTCTACGCTTGCAGCCTATTTTGGAATAGGGCTGCAAATGTAGGCATTCAGAATGGCAAATCAAGCCTGAGATTTAAATATCCCACACTTAATTTGCATCTTCACAGCCAGGAGCCATTTTTTTTGGAACTTACAAGCCCAGAATAACTGCCTGCATCTACACGCGGCAGTGAAATGGGCATTCAAAATAAAGCCCTATTTCGAACTACCTCATTGCAGGAAGAATGTACCAGCAATGGAAAAAGGGCAGGCAGCTGTAGATCAGAAATGGGGGACATCATGAGAAGTTGGGGAACCTCTGCTCTAGATTGTCCTATGATCATTTGCACAAGGGCTCCTTAAGGAAGCCCTTTGTCTCCTCACTGTGTTGTAACCATCCTCTGGTCCTTCTCTCTTGCTAACTGCACCTCTGTTGGCTGCTTTCCATCCCTGATTATCCCCAATGGAGCTGACTCTAGTCCTTCCAGTCACTGGCTGCCTTTTGTGTAGCCCCTATTGACAGGCTGGTAGTTTAGAGGTTACATACATCAGACTCAGTCCAGGCTCCATGGATGCCCCACAACTGCACCTCAGCTTCCTCTGGCACAATGTTCTCTCCACCCTCTTTCTTAGCCTCTGCTGTTGGCCTGACTCTTTCTGCCACTCCAGCATGCACCTTTGACTGCTGCTCTTCTCTCACACTGTCCCCTCGGACAGGCAGACTTCAGAAATCTCCCTCCCCCACTCCCCGGCTGCTATTGCCTTCTGTCTGCTGGATGTCTAGTGCAACTTCTCTGACCCGCCTTCCCTATCCTGCTGCTCCTAATGTAAGTAATGTGTCTAGAAGAAGACAGAACTACCATAGTAATAGAAATGTAGCCGTGTTAGTCGTGAAGCAAAATGCAGGACTATGTAGCACTGTAAAGACTAACAAGATGGTTTATTAGATGATGAGCTTTCGTGGGCCAGACCCACTTCCTCAGATCAAAAAAAGTATCAGACACCCTGATCTTCACTCTAAGAGCCTTCACATATCACCTTAGTGCTGCTCAACTATGCTGTGTGCTGTTTTGCTTGAAAAACACTCTAGACCAGAACTTCCTGCTGCAGAAGCTGTAACGCATACAAAAATGTTCTGCCACTGCCCATGCAGCTCCTTGCACTGATTTAACCATCTCTGCATGAAATCACGCTTCTTCCCAAGAAAGATGGATTAGCACAAAAATCTGCCTTCATCTCACATAGCAGTTGAGAAGACAGAGGGGCAACAGCAATCTCTTGTGCCTTTCTGCCATTGCATCCTTCTCATCCAGCCTAGTATTATTCTTCCTCTATCCCAAGCATCCATGCTCCTCTTTGGAAACCATCATTGAGGCTCAGTAATTCTATTGTGGTTAGGGAGGGATCTCAGAAGTTTTCCTCTACTCTAAGCTAGTCGGGAAAATCAAACTTAAACTTTCTTCACTCAACACAAATTCAAACAATCTTCCTACTTCTTCCAACTGCAGTTTATCTTGAGTTGTAGTCACTTCAATCTAGCGGCCATGATATCTGGGTAGGGATTTTATCTGCTTCTGTCTGTCACCTCCTCATGCTCTAAATACAGTCATCAGAATCAGAGGACTAGCCGTGTTAGTCTGAATCTGCAAAAGCGGCGAGGAGTCCGGTGGCACCTTATGGACTAACTGAAGCGTTGGAGTATAAGCTTTCGTGGGCAAAGACCCACTTCGTCAGATGCATTTTGTGGTGTTTGCCCACGAAAGCTTTGCTCCAACACTTTGGGTAGCCATCAGAATGGCTCTGACAACTTGCTGGCATCCGCACAGGATTTCATTTTAAGAAAGAGGACCTCTACACAAAAAAGTAAATGTGGTAACAAACCTCTAACCACCAGCCCCAAACACTTAGCCCTCCATTGAATCTAATGTGATTGCATCAGGGCTGCAGACCTTGTAAAGTATTTCCTTGCTCTACTTAGCAGTGACGGAAGGTGCCATAGGCCCTAGGGATGGGAGGACAGATGCAAAGTGCCGGAGAGGGGGGAGGGCCCTGCATCTTGGTGAATGCAGGACAGGAAATAGCACAGACATTACAGGGGGAGATCTAACCTGTCTCCTTGAAGAGAAATTATTCTCATACTGTCTCCATATTTCTCGTGCAACTAAGCACTAGGGTGCCATCAGAGGAACTGGGACTTGCCGGTGTCCATGAGAGAAGCTTGATAAGAAATGAGCTGCTGCAGCCCGCACCATCAGCCCATCCACTGCACCGTACAGCGGTTCCAAAAGCAGCATCAGTAACCGGAGCCTCAGCCTCCCAACTCACGAGAACAACGGCGCCTCCAGCAGCCTACGCTGTCCCGGCTCCATCCCTGAGCATTAGCTCAAAGCTGCTCCAGAGAGAGCGGTGACCCGTCCCCTACTGAATGAACGCTGCTGCTTTCTGACCACCTGGGTTTTCCCTGCTAATCCCCCAGCACAGACCGGACCGGACCCTCTCCACGGTGAGGTAGGTGTCGCTAATGTTGCAGTGAGGGTCCAAAGCACTAGAATGAGCCCCAGAGAGACCCAGGTCCAGAACTGCACAGACTACCCAGAGTGATCATGTCACCCACGTGAGGGGAACACGGGCGTCTGTCATCGCTAGTGGCTGGACCAGCAGGGGGGATTCAGAGGGCTTTAGCACTGACGATCAAGGAGCCGAAACCCCTCTCTGGGCCCAAGCAGGGACAGTCAGACTGCGAGCCGGAGACAGGCACATGGGGCAAGGGGTCCAGGCCACGGCGGAGGAGCCCGCGCAGAGGGAGCCGAGACCAGACTCGCGAAAGACACTGCAGGCCGGGATTGTAGGGCCCTGGCAGAGCTGCAGGGGAAGCTTGCTGGTTGCCTGGCGCCCGTCAGCACCAGGGCAGGTCTAAAGTCCCCATTCTCAGGAACAAGTGTTTGCACATGCCTGGCCCATGTTTCACGTCCCTCTGCCCATGCCCCACGGTGTCAGGGACCCTGGGGAAGAGCGCAAGAGCCAGGGGCAGGGAGAGAGCTAAGAAGAGTGGGGGAGGTGGGTCCTGAGGCAGGGAGATCCCCAAATGTAGCATGGCAGGCGGGTTCAATGAGGGGGGAGGGGGTCTCTTAGGGCTGAGGGGTTGTTAGGACCGAAATGGTTCCATTTCCCTTTCACCCTGAGCTTTGCACTTTTCACCCGGCCCCTCCACAGCAGCTAGCAGCGCCCAGGCACAGCCTCTCTGCTCATCTGGTTCACGCCCCTCCGCTCACCCTATAAAGCCAGGTCCCACAGCCTCCCTGGCTAGGAGAAGTGGCTGTTGGGCAGGGCTTCTTTCTGAGTGCCCTTCAGCCATGGGCTGGGGCTGTAGGTTTTTTGGGGGCTTAGTGCTGCTTTGGTTGCTGGGGGCAGCCCTGGGGCAGGGGGAGTTGCAGGGGGTCAGTTTCTCTGTCTTGCAGTATGAGTATGAGTGTGGAGACTATGGGATGCAGCTGCTGGTCTTTCCCACCCAGGGCCGCCCCGTCCGCTTCAAAGTTGTGGGTAAGTAGCTGCCTGGCTACTTCTCGAGAAAGTGAAGTAGCCTCCTGTTTGTCTGCCCCCTTCCATGTGCAATAGAGATGTATGAGCCTTATTGGAAATCTCTTACACGGTGGGAGCTTCTGCTTTTCTCCCTAAGGCAGCTATTCCAGCGCTGCTTGGTGTCTGGCTGGACACTCATATGCTGAGGTTTCTGGAGGCAGGTGTTCTCCATCTAAGGTGCCGGTCAGCCTTCCCCCCTGCAAATCCCCTTGCCTTGTCCAATGGCCTGACTGTGCCTCCCACCTGGCAGGATGAGGGTGATATGTCACAGGGCCATGGCATTGTATGGGAGGCGGCATATGTCTGGGACTCCCCATCCTCTGCTGCTGTCTGTGCCCAATATGCCACGTCCCATTCTGGGTGCAGTCCAGACTAGTGTGAGGCTTTCACTGTCTGCACCGTAACCCTGGCTGCCTTACTGGCTCTGCTGCTGTGCCTCACAGTGTCTGTGCAAAACAGCTGTGGCTCTGCTTCTCTGCTTGGCCCATATCAGCTCTGGTTACACGCAGCAAGATAACGGGCAACCATGTGTTCTGCAAGCGCCACGCAGGGGCACTCGGCATCCAATGCAGAACTGACACGATTCAGGTTGAAAGTAAAACAGACCCATTCACACAAGGAGCCGCATCTTCAGTGAGTTCTTATATTCGGGAGAGTTAGGAGTGGACTCACGTGGGTGGCAGACCATTTTCCTTTCCCTGGGAAGGGGTGACTCCAGCTTGGCCTGGCATAAACGTTTAAAATGTAATTTCTAATTTCAAAATGGTCTTGGCGTGCCATAGTGCTAATGATCGGTGTATTTACATGTTTAGCCATGCCTTGCATGACAGCACTTAGATCCAGATTGTGATAGGAGTGAATTGGGAGCGTTGAGTTGCTCTGGCCAGCCGGCTCTCGCTGTCTGTTGCCTGCGAGCCTCTTGCATTGGGATGATGTTAGGGTCGCAGACGATCATGCATTTTGGGATGGGGTCAGATGGAGTCCTAGATCAGATGCAATAAAAAGTCGTGGGGCTCCAGCTCTACATCTCAAAGGTGATGTCGACACTCACGGCGTCTTGCGCCAGAAATATGCAAATGAGGCTAAGCATGGAATATTGCCGGGCCTCATTTGCAGACCTAATGAGCCGCCGTTTTTGCGGAAGAGGCTCTTGCGCCAGAAGGAGCTGTCTACACTGCCCCTTCTTGCGCAAGAAAAACCCTCTTGCGCAATGCTGTTACGCCAGTTATTTTTCAGGAAAAACGGCGTAGCGCAAGAAGGGGCAGTGTAGACAGCTCCTTCTGGTGCAAGAAGCCACAAGTGTAGACATAACAAAAGTTCCCCTCTCTGTCTACACTTCCTCTCTTGTCTTAACCCTTCCTTACCTATCCTGGGTGTGTCACTCTCTCCACAGATGAGTTTGGGACTCCCTTTGAAGTAACCAACTGCTCCATCTGCCTCCACTGGGTCACTGCTGGCAGGGAAGGCTCTGTGATCTTCTCAGCAGGCTACAACGGCTGTCATGTGCTCAGGAAGGTGAGATTCTTGGTGCTCCTAAACGTCTCTAGCAATAAGATGGTGATGCTGGGAACCTTGCCTCAGCTGTCAAGAGTAGCATGGAAACAGTCCTTGGAACTGGCCTGTAAAAAGCTTATGTTCCCAGCCTGCTCCACAGGACATAGCTGTCACCAGCTGCTGGTCAAGAGATGGAGATGACCAGTTCAGGCACTCCAGTACACAACCTTGCTGACTGACTGCCCTGCTGCTGCCATTGCAGGATGGCCGGAACCACCTGAGGATCCGAGTGGAGGAGCTGCAGAGCACCGGGACTGTCGCTGCTGCCTACGATTTGAACATGATCTGCCCCAAGGCCACTGAACATGACTTAAGGCCAGAGGAGGCCATGCGTGCCGTGCCGCAGCCCGGCCTGGTGCTCCCGGGGCTCATGCCACAACCCGGCCTGGGGCTCCCAGACCGAACATGATCTGCCCCAAGGCCACTGAACATGACTTAAGGCCAGAGGAGGCCATGCGTGCCGTGCCGCAGCCCGGCCTGGTGCTCCCGGGGCTCATGCCACAACCCGGCCTGGGGCTCCCAGACCCTGTGCCGCAGCCCGGCCTGGTGCACCCGGGGTCCATACCGCAGCCCGGCCTGGTGCACCCGGGATCCATACCGCAGCCCGGCCTGGTGCACCCAGGGTCCGTCCTGCA